ACACAAATTTAACAAAACAGGGATAACCTTGATCAACTAGTGCTAAAAATCAGTGACGTTGCTACTCCAAGATCATGGACAATGCACAAGTCAAGAAAATATTTGATAATAAATAAATGAAGTAAAACTTCGCTAAGAGTTTGCAGACTAAACGTCGCAAACTCGCAAGCTTAGATATAAAAGCATATCTTTAGGCTTTAGATGAAAACTGTTAAGTCAATGTTTAGTGCAATGCTAACAAACTATTGTAATACTAAGATTGGTTGTAATGAATTTTAATATAAACAAGTAAGAAATTAAAATTTCGTTCTTTCCCCGTTGCGTATTATACCAAATATAAAAACATAAATTTGCGTTTACGTTCAATGGGTTGCCCTACAACGGTACAAAAGTAGAAAAAATCGGCCACGCCTGCACAAAGTTGAAGGTGAACAAATTGTTATTTATTTCGCTCTCTTGATGTTTTCTGTTCGTTGCTCATAAAGTAGTCAAAACAGAATTTTGAAAAATGTTCTATACGTTTCTCAGACGAGGACTTCTTACCTGTCTTAAACTATATTAATTCTACGATACATATGGTAGACCCCACAACGTGGAGAAGTGGTTTTTTAAGCAATATAATTAATAGGAGATCAAATAAACGGACTTCGAGAGGCTGAAAAAAAGGCCGTTTTTAGGCAAACACTATTGACCTTTTCATTCGAAAAGTCGCCCGTTACACAATAATCAATATTTTGCAGAAACCTTATGTGACTTCTCTAAATATACGAAAGTAGATTAAGTGACTTTTTGCGGCAAAGCTTGTGAAAAAGAAAAATGCATGGGCAGTGGTTCTCCTTTAATTAAAGATGCCTAACGAGGATGGCTTCCAGGTTGCTGCCATTTTTTAATATTTTTCTCCAAACAAATTTTCTTATAATGCTTGATAGCCTCCCTGCACAATATTATATCGCTAGGCTTTCTTTTATCCCGACAAAATTGTTTAAAATACCGCTTTCTTTAGGCAATTTCATTAGTCTTTCGCCTCTTAACTATTCGTATGCATTTAGTGTGTGTGTGTGTGTGTGTGTGTGTGGATACAGAGCGGATGTGAAAAAAAGGAAACCACTATAAGGTTTTCTATACTATGTTACTATTATATAGCGTGAGGATTAAAAAAAAAAAATTCTTAAGGAACTAAAACTTGTATTAAATAACAATTCAGGATTTTTTTTGGCATGGGATAAAATTATATATATAAAGCCCAAAAAATATGCTACATAAATACGTTTGTAAACATTGTAAAATTAAATAATTTGGTCCGTTAGATAATGTTAAGTTTTTGTTAATTTGGTCCGTTATTTTACAGAGTTGGACCGTCCTGGTCTGTTAAGTTGCGCGTTTAACATAGCTTAAGTTGTTAGTTGGGCACTCAACCATTTATATATGTGTGTTTACTTAGGCAAAGGGGTTTTTTTTACATGCTAGTACGTTTTTAAATATATCTTATATGTTACCTGCGAATACTTTGAATACGTTTTATGCTTTTGAGTACATTTTCATATAACTCATATGGTTGTATGTGTTACATGCGAATACTTTGAGTATATTTTTATATATAGCTTGTATGTTTGTACTTTCCATATGTTTTTATATGGTTGTATATGGTTCATGCGTTTGAGCGGGAGGAGGATGATCATGTTCAGTAAAAAGCCATGTAAACGGACGAACCGGACTGACTGCTCGGGGTCTACGGGTAAACATTTGTGCGAGCGGACTTGTTGTCAGTAAGGAAGCAAAACGCTTCCTAACAATACGTTTAATAGTATATAACGCCGACTATGTCCAAGGGCGAATTTTAAATTCTTGTTATTGGAAAAAAAAGAAAAGGCAAAGTTCTTTTTCCTTTTTATTTTAAGGATAACTTAAGCCTTTCAAGAAATTTAGTTTGTTTTTAAATCTCTTCTTAGCATAACTGGCACAGAAACTTCCAGGCTCCAATAAAGACGACGCTATAGGGGAACGCGCATCCACCGTTACCTACACAACTTCGCCTAATACAGTCATTCACTCACTTTCTTAATAACACACCAATTTTATACATTATTTCTATGTAAATCCACAATTTTCACAAAAGCCCTTATATTGAACGGTATTCAAACGTCAACGTGGTCTAAATTTAGCAAACTTAATTTGTTTCTCAAAGATTTTTATTATTTTGCAGTTGCTTCCGTCCCAATGAACCACAAAATAGGCTTTGTCGCCCTAAACGGATCTGCTTTCATGAGAGGCGCTGTATATAGTGCAGTCTAAAATTGATGACTAACGCCGCTGCTTAGTTCGGCGAATTAATATCGATTTCAAATGAATCAAGGCTTTTATTGGCACTGATTGACAAATATCGGACGAAAGTTCAGCCATCACTCAGCAGCCATTTTCGCGAAACACTATCAATTTTAGGGGCTCTGTGGCAAGCAGTATAAATGGTCCAAATTTCAAAATAAAAAAAATAAACTGTTTAATCCCTTAATCTTATGTTTAATGAGACGCACGAGAGATTTCAGAAATATTAATTTTAATATACGATTGGCGGGTGTTTGAGTGAAAAAGATCAATTTTCAACTAAAAAAAATCTTTTTGTTAATAAAAAAAAAAAAAACAGTTCAAATTAACTTATTATTAAGTTATACGTACTTCGCTAGAAAACGTTGTTCCAAAGATACTACAAAAAATTTATACGTGCAAGAAATTTATATTCGATCGTGACCGAATCTTCTATAGTCATCGTTATATTAAAAAGAACTAAAAAAGAAAAACAACAAAATTTTGATGCAATATAATATTGGCTGGGCGTGGCTCATTTTTTCTATTTTCGGAATAAAAGAGGAAATTTATACCGTGTTTCTGGTGTAATTTCTCAGTAAAAAGCAAAAAACACGAAAAGCAAAGATGTTCGCAGTTCTCTTGCACGTGGGGTTGTAGCCATACCCTTTGGTTGATTTGGGTCATTTTCAGAATATTTTGCGGTATCTTCATTTTTAAAACCGGGTGAATGTTGTAAAGTTGGATAAATTTTCTGTTCGTCAGAATACGTAAGATTTTTGCCCTAAGTAACTAGATGTTGTCTAGATCAGATAATTATTTTCCTCTAGATCAGCGGTGGCGAACTTTTCCGTCAACGAGAAAGAAAAAGAAAGAAAAGTCAAATTCATGCACGATTATTGAGTTAACGTGATTGTTACTTAACAAATAATCTAAGAATAAAATAAGAAGCTATCAATAATGTTTCACTAAGTTAGCATCAACCTACTTAATGAAGTTTCATTACGTATATTTTCGAAGAGAATATTCAAAGTTTGTAATAATTGAACACATACAAAGCTGGAACCTCCACTTTTTTGACGCATTATATGCAAAAAGTATGATAACATATTTTTCTCTAAGAAAAAGCTGGAAAAAGGAAAATAATTAATACATAATTATAAAGAGTGAGTTATTAAGCGCTACTTACTCGCAAACCGAACTGTCATGTTGATCACCCCATATTAAAATTTCCGCTGTACTTCTTAACGATTCTACCAGCAAACCCCTAATATTTCGCATAGAGTACAGGATAGCTTTCAACCAGTTTTATTAAATCTACGTCATCAAGATTAGAAGGCATTCTTTAAAATTATTGAATAATTCCCGTCTTGTTCATCAGACAATTATTGCTGCATACATGCAGTATCGGGTGAAAATGTTGGTTTCTTTACTTGTTTCGTTATTAACATATCGTTGGTGTTGGTCTCGACAAAATTATTCTAATAACGATTTGGTTGATGTATAATTACCAAGCGTTCTTGAAAACTGAAAAACTAAAATTTTGTTTTTCAATAGCCTCCGTATATGAAGGACAATCGTTTCTATGCTAAGAGTTAAGAATATATATATATATACATGTATACATATATGAATTTAATTTATCATTTGCTTCTCTTATTATATTACGTGCCTCGTTATAAAAAAAAATGTATAGTGTGAGCGTTTAATTTTAAACTCGAAGTTTTCAAAAACAATATATAATGAATGTTTGTAATAATTGAACTCATACAAAACTGGAACCTCCACTTTTTTGACGCGAAATTTTAACTAAATGTCGTGGGTTCAAATCTCAAGTGCGGTAGAGTTTTTTTTTGATGCTAACGCTTTAAAAGAAACGAATTTATTCTCTGGCTAAATTTATAATAATAATAATAATAATAATTTTACAAGTTAGCCTAAAATTAGGCCGGTATAATTTTTATTATTATCAAATTAAACAAAGCCCTCGCTAAATTCACTGTTGAAAGGCGCAGAGTCGCTTACAATAAATAAATGGTTAAATGCCCAACTAACAACTTAAATGGTTCAGTCTGCTAAATGTCCAATAATACAATCAATACAATATATACAATAAATAAAATAAATAAAATAAATACAATAAATACAATACAATAAACTTCCAGTATTAAGTACTTATTATTAACTTTTGACAATTAAATACTAATTATTAACAATTGCATTTTTTTTTTTGTATCGATTTACCTAAAATAACAGCCCTGTGCTCTAGAGTTTATTGTTAATGAAAATGGGGGACTTTTGCCGTCGGCTTTGCAATTAACATTAAATATTACGTTCCTTCTGCAAATTAGCATAGAGTATTACGTTTTTCCTGTAAATAGCAGAAAATATAGCTACTGTTTTGTTTAATTTGACACTAAAAAAAAAAAATTATGGCGGTCTACTTTTAGGCTAATTTGTGAAATTATTATTATTATAAGTTAAGCCAGAGAATAAATTCTAATTAGCATCAAAAAGAATTTTGTCCAACTTAACAGAAAAAACACATTCAACTCTGTTAAAATGCAAACTAATCTCCCAGGTATGCGAAAAATGGATAAACTTTTATTTAATTTCATGCCTATGATCAACGTTCAAAATGGTAGTGGTATAAACGAAATACGAAATTTTACAACGCTGTAATATTTATAAAGTAAACAAATGATTGGAAATTATGAAATTATCGTCATTAGTAACTATTGAAAAAAGTAAACAATAATACCGATAATATGAGTTTCTTTAAATATTAGATTTTTTTACTTTGCACGGTGATTACGGACGCTATGCAAAATCAATTTCTCTTAATAAATGGACATCGTTTCATTGTAAAATAAGTTGCACAGCAGCCAACTTTTAGTCTACGATTGTTTTGTTGGTGAGTTTCAGGATAGGATCATTCGTTAGCGCCTTATCAAAGAAATTATATTTATAAAAAAGGTTGCGAGTTGAGAGTTTGTGTGTCATATTCCCATAAAACATTCAGCAAAACGTTCAACGTTTAAGATTATCTAGACCATTAACAATAAAAATATTGATTAGTTTATACAATTACTGCATACTTTCAGAAATCTCCGAGCATCTAAGCGGTCTTTTTAGACTTAAGCGTTACTGCCGAATTTAGTTGAATGTTACTGACATGAATACACGTAACACGGTATACCGAACCTAAGTGATGAAGAGATGAATCAAAAATTCTATATAAACAAATAAGAATGTCTTCGGCGATGTTAGCATTTGAAAGTATAAAAATATCTAATCCGTGATGAATTCTATAAAGTACTCACATAATTGCTTTTGGTCCCCGTGGAAACGATAACTTGTAAGTTTAATGGTTACTTTTGCAATTTTTCTCAAAGTCCTCATCCTTTTTAAAGGCATGGATCAACTCCGAACACACAATCTACACCACGACGAGGCTAAACCAAAGTAGTCTGCACTGCCAAAAAAGTTTTTACGGCGCTAATTTTTGAAGTGTGATAATGAGTAAAACAGCAATAGGACACATTGATGTAAAAGCTTGGGAAAAGAGGTCGGTTCTAGTTGCGAGTGGGATAATCTACAGGGCTTAAGAAGCATGTGCTAGGTAATGGCTATGGGAGGATATCATACGCCTATAAACTTATAGAGTAAACAATGGAACTTTTAAAAAAAATAAATAAACACATGAAGCTACTAATATACGAGAATGTTTAGGTAACTTAAATATTAATAAAATCATACTTTTATAACACATCATTCAGTAAGTTCGTATTTATACCGCTTCTACGGTTGAATGCATACATTTTTTTTTTTTTGTTTAGTTAGAAACAACAACTTCAGTTTTCAAGCAATGGTCGATTTAAGCAATAAAGGTGAACTAGTTTGGAAAACTTTTTCGAATCCATATCCCATTGAAATTATTAAAAAATATTCTATTTAGTAAAAATTCTGTAAAGGAACAAGTAAAAAGTGATATAGTTCGTCAGGCTATGTGAGTTAACTGAGTGAAGCGAATGTTGTCGTTCAAAAATGTTTAAATGCACGCACATGTTTTCATAATAATAATAAACAAAACACGAAAAAAAAGCAAAAATTAAAAAAGATTTTATAAATAAAAATTATACCGTGAACGCTTGTTATTGTGCTGCGTAAACATGTATAGACTTAATCGATTGTAATAGTTTTGCAGTATTCTGACTGCCCAATAATTCATTTAAAAGCGGGTGGTCATATTTCATGGACAACTCTGCAATTTTCATGGAATCGTCTTACCCATCTCGAGCATTTTCATTGAATGAATAGATTAAATTAATCATTTAATTTCCTTTATGTAATAAAAATTCTGAAATACATCCACACTTTTTAACTGCTTCAGGTGCTTTGTTTTCGCCATCATGGATGATAAAAGATTGCAAAATGTTTAAGAACGATGATAATATCTATAAAGGCGATGAAGAAGAGTCCCTTGTGACGCGTTAAGTAATTGGTAAATGGTTTAGTGTTTAGTTCGGAATTTTTTAAGAAATAGCACAATGTTGATATCACTATTCGTGGAAGCGGAGTTTTGTTAGGTGTCATGACCTTTTTGTAAATGGAAATATTCATAAGAGAGAAAAAGATGTACGGGAAAGTTTGCTCGACCTGGCAGCTGCCGATTATCGCGCATAATCCCAGTGAGATTTATGATTCTGTAGCACTGCACGATACCTACATTAAAGTAATAAATACCTATGAATTTACTCGTGTTTAGTTTGTTCAATTTGTTTCGACAATTGTTATTTTTGTATCTTTTTTTTTGTCTTTTTGAGGAAGAAGGAGAACCATATTTCATACTCAATATTCTTATGTGGATAGTTTTCTGGTAAAAGCGTAGAGTTTCCCATCGCAATGCATGGATTTGTACGATTCTCTGTTAACAATGGCATGGTTTTCTATTAAAACGCGTTTACATTTAAATTAGGTCGAAAAATGGTTTACTCTAAAGACTGCTTTCTTTATATGCAAACATGGCTAAGATATGGTTTTTTCATCCATCATATATCAATCATATTTTCATACTTTCACTTGCACTGAAAGTTCTATTACTGGGCCAGATATAAAATACAGTGATCAATCTTTATGCTTATTGTCAATCTGTTCAATTTACTTATGCTTATATTATTATATTATAAAGAATTCTTTATTTATTTCAATTTACAGTAATAGAAGAGGCCTTGCCTTAGCTCAACAAAACATATATTACAAAAGCAAATTCCTGAATATAATATGTGCATAAACAAGATTGTAGTATAAATTAGAATACAAATATATAAATAATATAAATAATATTTAAAAAAAAAAATATTACAAATTGAATGTCGTGCCACGTTAAGAGTCGAAAAAAAGCAAAAAAATTGAAGAAGAAAAGTAAATTATTCGAATTATCAACTTTTGATAAACAAATATAGTTCTGGGGATAATTACAATTATATATAAATAACAAATAAAACTATACCTATAAATAAATGTTAGCCTACTCAAGCATAAGCAAAGCAACAATGATATGAGTATGTATTAGTAATTAGGTCAATACGAACTTGTAAATTAACCTTTAAAGTAAGAAAGCGCGGTTAGCAAAATCTCTAAATTGAGTAAGAATAGGGCTAATGACACACCCCTTTCAAAAGTTTCCTTCTTAATTCTTCTTAAATCTTCTTCAAAATGTAGCACTTATTCAAAACAAAGTCCGCGCTTTGACTGGCGATGCTCTTCATCCACTTTTCAATAAATGTATTGAATATGATGTATGTATGTAAAATAAAGTTGAAGCTGCAGCACTTTTCATTTTAATTTCATGAAGTCATTATTACCTTATAGGGGAACAATCATCAATTGCAATAAGCAACTTTTGTTGAAGTCTAAAAGCCTTGCCTATAAACTTAACTTTGAAATCGATGCGTGGTCACTATAATTGTCAATTACATCAATTGTTTTATACGCCCGCGATTCGTGAATTAAACAAGTCGAATGTCCACATATAAATTCTTTAATAAAATCCCACTGCCTCCTAACAAAACGAATTATGCTGGCAACGAATGATGAACCTATTTCATCTAATATTTACCTATGCTTTCTTCCGTTTTTAGTAAATTTTCTAAGCGCCGTCATCGCCAAAGGATAAGAGGTATATTGATTCCGTCAAAACGTTTGCAACACCCAGTACGACGATCTAAAGACCCCACAAATGATATACATTCTCAATCAGCGTCAATTCGAAACCAATTGAAGCATGTTCATCTGTCCGTCTGCCTACCTGTGTGACGTCTCTATTAAACACAATTTCGGCAAAAACATTGCAAGTTCCCGGACACAGGTTCGCATTGAAAATAGAACAAATCGGTCAAAGGACACAATCACAGCACAAGATAATCTGAGACCACCTCTATGTTTTCAGAAATAAAAAGAATCCCGATTTTTGCACGTTACTTGTAAGCCATAACAGCTTTGACGATAAAAATTTACATGCGTATTTATTGGAGGCGGTCTTGTGGCCGCTGTACAAATATGGAAAAAATCGGCCTCGCTGATTTGTTTCACTTCTTTTATGTTCTCCGGTCATCGCTCATAAGATAAACGAGGCAGAGTGTTGAAAAGTATTCTCTAAATTTCTTATATAAAGATATGTTTGTAAATAAATATGGTAGAGCCTGCAACGTGGACGATTCATTTTTTCTTAGCAATATCAACAACTGGATATTAAATCAAAGCCTCTGGGAGAGCAGAATACGACTAGATACGTGTGTTAAGACTAAATTAAATGTCGCGGACCTTACGACGGTATACAACAGATAAGAGTGGTGGGTAAATTTTCTTACATTAGAAGTGCAGCATGTAATGAGTTTTATATGGCAACAAAACCTAATTCTTAGAGTTTCACATTGCAAACAAGTAATAACATTATAGCGAGCCACAACTCCCCAGTTATTCGAAATACAGCAAAGTGCTTGAAAATGTGATCCGATCCGCACCATATTTAATAGTGTCCGTGGTTGGAACAAAACACATCAATGTACCAAACTCATATTTTATTGGAATCTGGTAGGGTGAAAACAGAAAAATCAGACGGATAGAGGGGCATATAAGTTTAAGCCGATTTAGAAAGTGAGTTAGATTTTGAATCGATCTGGATAATAGTGATGAGTCTATCTCAAGTCTAATAACGCAGGTATTTATTAAGAGACTGTTTGTCCTTATTACAAATTTTCAGTGCCGGGAAGTTTAACTTAAAAAAAAATTTCTTAAATAAAATGAAATAAGTCAATAAAAAGAGAAATAACGGGAACGAAGCCATTAAAGAAACATATCACAATCAATAAGGAAAACATGTCAAAATCGCTCTTTTACAGGCGAAATAATGTTAAGAAATGTTTAGAAAATTTACAATAGCTAAGCCAAAAATATATGATATAATGATGATTGTTTCAGTGATTCATTTTAAAGGCAAACAGTAGCCCCGGCCTGACTAAAAGGCTAATCAAGAATCTTTGATATTGCCAATTTGCGAAGGTGCAAAGAGGTATAGTGTTTATCCGTCCGTGAAAGTTCGAAATATAGTTTACGGTTAGGCGGACAAACGTACAGACAGAGCTTAGCTTACGTACATTATGATGACTACGGGTGTTACAAGTATGAGTATTGCAGAAATAAAAACACGTAGTGAATCAAATTGATCGACCATGGATTTCTTATTATGGTTTCTCTCAATTAGTCACTCTTACGAACTCTCATTAATGCCTTACTGCATATATATATATATATACTATAGGCGCATGTTTACCTCTTCTGACTGCTTGCTATAGATCAGTAAACAGTTCAGCGAAACATTAAAACGTAAACAAAAATGCAAAGAGTATGATTTAAAGAAAGCTTCAACACCTTGTGAAGACAAATCAAACGCGCGCATAGCAAAACGTAGACATTAAGAGATGCAAGTGATAAGAAGAAAGAAGAAAAAAAAGAAGAAAAACACCAGATTCACAACACTTTACGAATCCGTTGAGTAAACACTTGAGCAGCAAGTGCCGCATGCTGTATACATATACACATACATATTTATTTAAACGAACGTAAATATTTTAAATAAACTCGTATTAAGGAAAAAGAAATAAATAAAAAAATATTTATATGATATTTAAAGATTATTCCCAATAATGATAATAATATTAATAAAAGAAAAAACACACACACACACACACAGAAATAGAAATAGAAATATTTAAAAAACAAAAAAAATAATAATGTTTATCAATAAGTTGCAAATGCTAAGCAAATCCGATTCTATTCAAATATTGCTTGCATCACGTGGTGATTTTGTAATGCAATAAAAATAAAGTGAAGAGTGAACGAATAAGTTGTTATCACTTCATATGGTTAAATGACCGCGATCCCCTAATTATGGGGCTACGGTTTGATAAAGTATTTAAAAAGTGAAAATTTACCAATTCACAGGAAAATTTTGAATAAAATTCAAAAAAAAAAAAAAAAATATATATAATAAGAAAAGTATGTGCAAAAATTCCTGAATAATGTGAAAAATTTCAAACAAAAAGAAATCTTTAAGTTTACTACTATTCTGTGTAATTAAAATTTCCCACTCCTTCCTTTTTTGTGCTTTCGTTCATTCGCCTTTAAGTTTATTTAGATACATCATATGTAAAATAGTTTTCTGTACATTTCTTTAAAAAGGTAAATATTTTTTCAAATTTTTTTTT